GCTCCTCTTCTGTACAAAACCTCAAATTTTCTCGGTGCTTGTAGAATACACTTTCTACAACAACATATCAAGACTTTTTGATACCGTTAGCGACGGTGGCTTTAGGATACTCAGATTAGAGTAGCCTATCAGATCACAGGATCATTTGTCTTCGCTCTCGTTTATACTGACTAAGATGAACTCGTCATATATATAATTCAAGCATATCAATCGTCATGGCGACAGGGCATGAGATCACATGAATCCTTATTTATCACCCAATTAGCAGTGGAACTAATCAAACACGTTGACCAATACCAAGCTGCTGCTGCATCATCATGACACACACACACACACAACTACTATTATATGATTCAAAGTGTGGTAGGATCACAAGGTCAAACTGATGAACAAAATCAAAACAAACCAATCACAGCTCATTTTAATCTTATTAAATAATATTTGTTGACAAATAATGAATAGAAACCATTTACAACAATATCTTTTTCAAATATATATGTATATGTATAATAACACACCACTCTACCATATATATATATATATATATATATATATATATATATATATATGTATATACGTAAAATTTGTCAAGTTATAACAACAATTTAGGCATAAAAAGTGGAAAGTCCTCAAGAGAACCCGCGGGCGCACACACCCACACACCGCTTGTATGAATTAGTGTGTCGAAGAAAATCCAAACAATGTATTATTGTCTTTTGAACTGTATGTGTATATGTGTGTGTGTGCATTGATTGAGAGAATCGATAATGTACTACTACTACTACTACTACTAGTGATTACAATGAACACTTCTTGATCAAGATTGGGATGAGTATGCGCGGGCGCCTCTATGTCTATATGTGTGTGTGTACAACATTGATGGGCGCGGAATGTTTTTTTTAACAATACGAAATAGAAAAGATCACATTCGCTTTGTAAGTTAGTTAGTTTAGTCTAGTCTAGTCAGTCAGTCAGTCAATTAGTTAGTTAGTAAGAAGAGAGTGAGTCGAGAAAGAGAAAAACAACGCACAACAACAGAAAGAATATTAACAACCAACAGAGAAAAACTTTCGTCGACGAAGTAAGTAAGGAGAGGAATCTAGAAGAAGAAACAATCACCACCAACAACAACAACATTGTTGTTATTTTTTACAGTACAACACAAGACACCAATGTTGTTGTTGGCGGTGGCGGCACCAGCGGCAACTTTACACACCACACGCCTTAGCATAGAAAAAAATAAACAATCAAGCCAGGAACAATTACACACCATCTCTACTCGTAGAGTATACAACAACACAAGGGTTGAAAAGAAAAAAAAAAGAGGTGAACATTTCTAAATTATTTGGTTTATTATTGTCATCGTCAACATCATCATCATCATCATGAGTCATGTGAAATAGACAGAATGTATAACTGGCTAACGAACTGCTGCTGTTGCCACTGTTCACTCTCTCTGTTTCCATTCATATTTAATCATGATAAGACAATTTTGGTCGATTTTGTTGGTGAAAACATTCACAGGATTATGATGATGATGATGAGTAAGAAAGACAGATAATTTCGGAAAAAATCAAAAACAAACAACGCTCTCTCTCCTATAGTTGACAAGATATTGTTGTTGTGTAAGATAGGTAGGTAGGTAGGTAGGTAGATAGGTAGATTTTTAAAAACTGAACAGAGAGAGAGAGAGAGAGAGAGAAAAAACAAGGCACAATCAACATATAGTTATTCTTGTCCAAAACCTTCAGTTTCATCAATAGCATACGATAATTTCTCAACTAATTGTTCATACGAACGATATGGCGGTAAATCTAATCGATTAAAACATGTATGACTACGCGGTAACCATGATTCTTTGCCAATATATTCAATACAGAATGGTTGTGGACCATTATTACCTGAAATTAGATTTAAGAACAAACATTACAAAAATAAGTAGTACATTGATAATGAATAAAAATTAATCTAGAGATTAACACCGTTAGATATCGGCCAGCTAGCTCAGTGGTCTGTCTAACGGTTAGGGCGTTCGCGCACAATACCGTAGGTCTTGGTGTAGTACCTCCAACTACATTCCAGTTCGCTTACATCTCTAATTTGTTTAAGCCCTTTCGATTAATTTTTATTTAACCAAGCCATAATTTGTATTGTGAGCAACAATCTGTATGTACCATTCGTTCTTATTATTATTGTCTGGTTTGTATGATGAGGTCACATGACGTGTCCTACCACTGGTCATTTGACCTTGTCAACTATTCGTCAATTCTATTCATGTGTGTCTATTTCGCTTGTCGCATGTCTGTCTTATTTTTTGTCTGACTATATATGTTCTTAGTCATGCTCTATCTCCTGCGAGTTGGCTCATTAGCCTTCTCCACATCGCTTCGCCTATTCCTTCGCTCATTCGTTCGCATTATAATCCAAGAGAGTTGGCTCGACAGCCTTTTCCAGTTCACGTCGCTTCATTCGTTTTATTCACTGCTTCTCCGCTTCGCTTTGTGCTGTGTTCCGAATAAACGTATTCATCAATACGAATTCATATTCTGATTTATAAACTGTCAGACACTATTTGGCAACGATTGTCTGAACGAGTTAATTACCGGGCTTATTAAGAACACGCAGTAAACCGACACACTACACTGGGTTCGAATCGTGCGGGGTGCAGGAGTCGTGGATGCGCACTGCCACTGATGAGTCCCATACCAGGACGAAACGGCCGTCTTCCAGTGCTTCTTCCAGGTTTCTAATGACTGTGGTCTAACGTATGTACGTACATCAGTTCAGGTTGCCATACCACACATTAGCACGAAGACGCAACTGTCAGTTCGAATCCCATAGTGATAAAGATAGTAGACGTATTAATAGTAATGAAGAAGACTAGGGTTCCAAAATATTATTCAAGAAGTATAATTCAGTAAGATAAGGTTAGAAAGACAAAGGTAGGAGGTGTTGACGAATCCAGAAGATTACGATTTGAGCGAACAAAACGAATAGATGCTCTTACGTCATTGCAAACGATTTTGAGCCGTGTCGTTCAAGGTCTCTAACCATTGGTGATTATCGTCTCGCGGACCCCAATCACGTAGTCGACACTGATCAATATGACTCAGTCCACTTGTCAGTGACTTCATGGATTTCTGCCATTGTTTTAGTTTGGCCACACCTAGCTTTCTTCCAACCTACGCCTACACTGCGAAACATGGCTCGTCGAGGCAGTCGGTGGTTAGGCATACGTAACACATGTCCCAACTACCTCAAATGATGAAGTTTCACTACTTCATCTATTGATTTGCCATGCTTACCTAGCACCCATTTCCTAACGACAGCATTGCTTGTACGATTGTCCCATGATACACCAGCGATTCTTCGGAGACATCGATGATCGAATACTAGTAACCTACGAACATCTTTTACTCTTAACGTCCATGTTTCGCATCCGTGTCGCGGACGCCAATCACGTAGTCGACACTTATCAATATGACTCAGTCCACTTGTCAGTAACTTCATGGATTTCTGCCACTGTTTTAGTTTGGCCACACCTAGCTTTCTTCCAACCTACGCCTACATTACAACTTCTTATAATCTTTAGTTTGTGTGCATACACTCAATAAATTAACAAGAAATTGTTATGACATAACATTTTTTACAAGATATCAATTAAAAATAAATCGATACACTTAAATAAAATCTCGAAGATATATATACATATGTATATATATTCAGACAAGGTCATACATACAAGCAATAAATCTACTCACCAAGTATTTACAAATCGGAAAGATCAATAATAGACCTTAATTATAACTTGTATAAAAAACTTGTTCAATATTTCAATTAGTCAGTCAGCTACAATGTAGAACTTCGTAGAGGTACGTACGTACACATACATCAGTTCAAGTTATCATACCATATTAGCACACAGCGATCGAATTGTCAATTCAAATCTCATAGTAGTAGAAATATTAGCAGCATCTATAAAGATGATGGATTGAAGAGTTCAATATTTCAAAGCTTTTTTTTTAAAAAAATTTGAGTGAATTCTATTCATTATACTTATTCAATTAGTCAGAAGTAGCGTAGAATTGGGTAGGTGCGTACATCGTTGATGTTTAGTTATAAGTCCCAACTATATCAATTGATGAAGATTCAATACCTACCTCATCCATTGATTTGTCATTGTTACCTAAAACCCGTTTCTTATCACTAGTATTGCTTACTCACCACTCTAAGCAACAATGCAAGCATATTCGGGATGCGGTTCTCGCCCTCGAAATGCAAAATGTTGCTTCAAGACTGGGTTGCATCGGCACCTGAACTAGTGATAGGGAGTGAAGTAGTCGAGCGTGTTGATCACTTCACTTATCTGGGGAGTCTCATCAGTGCTGATGGCCTGATGACCGACGAAATCTCAGCATGGATACAGAAGGCTCGATTGGCTTTTGCCAACCTGCGTCATCTATGGCGCAGGCGAGATATCCGTTTGCTAACCAAAGCACCACTGTACTGCGCAACAGTTCATTCCATCCTACTATATGGATGCGAAACATGGCCGGTGAGAGTAGAGGATATTCGTAGGTTACTAGTCTTCGATCATCGGTGTCTCCAAAGCATTGCTCGTGTATCATGGGACGTGCTGTCGTTAGGAAACGAGTTCTAGGTAGGGATGGCAAATAAGTAGATGAAGTAGTGAAACTTGATCAGTTGAGATGGTTGGGACATTTATTACGTATGCCCAACCACTGACTGTCTTGATGAGCTATGTTTTGTGTTGTAAGAATAGGTTGGACCAAAGCTGGTGGCGGCCAAACCAAAAGATGACAGAAATCCATGAAATCGCTAACAAGTGGACTGAGTCATGTTGGTAGATGTAGACTACCTGGTTGGGGTCGGCGAGACGAAAGTCACCTTCAGTGACATGGCTCAAAATCGTTTGCAATGGCGCAAGTGCATCCATTTGTTGTGCTCTCTCAAATCCTAATCTTCTGGATTCGTCAAAACATCTACCTTTGTCTTTCTAACCTTATCTCACTGAATTAGAAGCCTTCTTATTCTCCATTACTGCTACTACTTCTATTATCGCTATCACTCATGGATTTGAACTGACAATTGCGTCTCTGTGCTAATATGTGCTATGGCAACCTGAACTGATGTACTTACGTACGTACGAAGTTCTGCGTTGTATCTGTCTGTCTGTCTGTCAGAAACCCTATAACACATCTTATAGGAGTATTGATGAGAGGTATTTTGTAGTTTAGATGTAAATATTAATATAATTATACTTACAAAGAAAAGTATAGAGGTGAATTATTCCATTAACTAAGTACCAATTTTAATTCTCATCACTATTGTCTCGCAGACCCCAACCAGGTAGTCTACATTTACCAACATGACTCAGTCCACTTGTCAGTGACTTCATGGATTTCTGACATGTTTTGGTCTGGCCGCCCCTAACTTTCTTCCAACCTATTTCTACACTACAAAACAAAGCTCGTCGAGGCAGTCGGTGGTTAGGCATACGCAGCAAATGTTCCAACCACCTCAACTGATGAAGTTTCATTACTTCATCTATTGATTTGCCATCCCTACCTTGTACTCGTTTTCTAACAACAGCATTGCTTACTCAGCCTTCCCAGGATATACGAACAATGCTTTGAAGACATCTATAATCGAATAGTAATAGCCTACGAATGTCCTTTACTCTCACCGACCATGTTTCATATCCATATAGTAGGACGGAGCGAACAGTGTCCTTACACTTAAGCGCACAGTTGAATGTTGAAAATCTATCTATCTACTTGAATGCGTTTACACTAGAGCTTTGATGTTACAAGTTGGATTTCAAGATTGCATTGACATTGCATCTGACAAGTTCCCGCATAGGATGAAACATCATGTATTATTCTAGCATCTCATGTTAACCACAAACCGAACTCACAAATAATAATAATAATAAAACATAAAACACTAACCCATAAGATTTTTAAATCCACCAACAGGAACACGACATGTACCAGTGACAAATTGAAGTAATCGAATACGTTTTTGTTGTGTTAAACTTCGAACAAACTAGGATGAAATGAAAAAAGACAATAAAGATGATATATATTGTTAGGATATTCATCAAATATCTAGCCTAAGAGAATTAATTATTCTATGTAAGTCTAATTCTATTGGTCAATTCCTCCCTACTGGTCAATAATATTATCGTCGTCCTAACTGTCAATGTCACCGACTTCAGTGTTGTTTCCCATTCGACCTAACTGTATAAATACACATTATCTGTAACCTTTTATGAACCGGATTCGGACCCGGATCCCTAGTCCGGTATGTTGATTTTCTTTTGAACTCGGACCTCGTACTTTTCTGGATGCTTGTAGAATACCTGTTCTACTTCATATCAAATCTTCTTTTTTTATTTAATCAGGGTTGGGACAATTGGATTAGAGTAGCATGTTGGGTAGCCGGACCCTCGATCCTCGCTCTCACGTTTCCGACTGAGGTAAACTCGTATTAGTTCAAGCATATCTCAAATTGACGTGTTTGCATGCATGCATGCGTAATAGATAGACACAATAGGATGCTTTTTGTGCAGGAGAGGATGAAGTTTAAGCAAAAAATGGAAATAGAATTGTATACAACACCAGAGGGCGCTGAAAGCTTAAAATGATATTTTCTAAATAGTTGAAAGTGTGCCAAGCTAAAATCAGAAGAAACATTTTTGTATTGATTAAAATAAAAACTCAACTATTGTTGGCTATGCCAATTGCATTGATTTTAAAGAGGCTACATGCACCAGCAGCCATTATAATCAATATCAGTCATTCAGTTACAACGTAGAACTTCCTACAGACGTAAGTACATCAGTACATACCACATTAACACAGAGATGTATTTGTCAAGTCAAATCCAATAGTAGTAGAGGTAGTATAGAAGTATTAGCAGTAATTGGAGAGACTAAGGTTCGACGATACTATTTAAGAAGTAGAATCTAGTCTCGACAGTAGCTGCTACCTTGATGTGGTGGTCGGACCTGCCGATCGTGATGATCCAACCAAGTTATATTGGCTGGAACTTATGTTCCTGAAGGTTCTACCATGCCAGGCAGGTCGATTGGAGAACGATCAGACTAAAAACAGCTACTCAAGGTCTGAGGGTGAAGTCGTACTGCTGACTGACTGCAAAGGGGTGTTACAGCAGTAAGGTGTTTCCCTCGGACAACCAGCATCTGCAGCGATGCTACCTTCTCACAAGGAAGGAAGGGTTAGAAAAGGTCGACCCTAAAAATGCCACACCTCACCCTATCTCATGGATTTCCGTGCCCAATAAGGGTCTTTAAGAGCGGAGCTAATACTAAAAAAACCTTTAACAAAAAGGCCGTGCGTGACCGGCCTCAAGCAGTTGTCTCCTCGGCTCTGCGGTCACGCTTCCAGGTCTCTAAGACCAACACGAGAATCTAGTAAAGTAAACTTAATAAGAAATAGATAAAGTGATAAGGAATTAAAAAGTTTAGAATTTCAGATAACACAAAGAATGAATGCACAAGCATCATTGCAAACAATTTTGAGGCATGATGTCATTCATGGTCGCTAACCATCGATTACTATCATCTCGCCGGCCCCAACCAGGTAAGTCAACACACATCGACATGGTATTAATATGTAGGTGTTGTTGAATGAAAACTTGTTACACTCGTCTCTAGCTATGTATGCTTAAAACTATTAAGAGTTCACCTTAGTCGAATCCAAGCACTTAAATTGCGTTTATTTATACCCCATAGAGACGTCCTTGAGACAGTCACGAAAATAGCATACTAAAATGACAGAGTAACCAATCACAGCCAACGATTCTCCTAGTGGGAAATGTAATCTCAAGGTCAACTGATCAGTCCATGAAATAAATCCAAAATAAAGATATTTATCAAGCAGCGAGTTCTGGGGATCGAACATCCCCAACAAAACTAACTTGTAAAAAAAGTTAACCAGTGGTGGGGGGGTGGTTACCGACCAATCCACCAACATCAACTACATCATCAACCACCCCTGCAATCACTTCATCTTTCAAATAAACCTCAATTTAATGAAAAAAAATCGACAAGATGTTCGTGAAAAAAAAGAATGTTCTTTTATACATCACAATATGTTAGTACCATATTGCATTTCTTCCTTACACCACTTATTCATTTCCACTCTATGTACACACACACACAGACACACATTCAAAAACACATGAACACAATCAGCATTGCTGTGCATGGAAAAAATGTGAGTGTTTCATATGTATGTGTGTGTGTGCGTGTGTGTGAGTGTGAGTGCATGTTTTATGCTGCCAAAAAACTGTGAAAGAGAAAATCACATACACACACACGCACACACACACACAACACTTGTCATAAATAATCGAATTGATAATGAAAGTGCAGGTTGTGAAATAAAACAGACTTTTTTCTTTTTTAAAAAAAAATCAAGATGAAATTAAAGTGAGGCAAGGAAAAAAACGTCGTCACTAATTTGTTGTTGGGATACGGGTGCTAGGTAAGGATGGCAGATCAATAGATGAAGTAGTGAAACTTCATCAGTTGAGGTGGTTGGGAAATGTGTTACGTATGACTAACCACCGAATGCATCGAAGAGCTATGTTTTGTGATGTAGGAGTAGGTTGGAAGAAAGTTAGGGGCGGCCAAACCAAAAGATGGCAGAAATTCATGAAGTCACTGACAAGTGGATTGATTCATGTTGGCAGATATAGGATACCTGGTTGGGGTCAGCGAGATGATAATAAACGATGGTTAGAGACCTTGAATGACATGGCTCAAACTCGTTTGCAATGGCACAGGTGCATTCATTCTTTGTGTTCTCTCAAATCCTAATCTTCAGAATTCCTCATCAACTTTATCTTTTTAAGTTTATTTCACTAGATTCTACTTCTTGACTAATATCTTCGAACCCTATTCCTTCCGATTATTGCTAATACTTGTGCTGCTATGGGATTTGAATTGACAGTTGCATCTCTGTGCTTATGTGTTATGGCAACATGAACTTATGTACTCACGTATGTACGTAGTTTTACGTTGCTTTTGATTGACTGATTGATAGATTCACTAATTTGTCGCTAGAAGTGATGATGATTGATGATGACTACAGTTTCAAAACAGAAGGAATGAATATTCACAATGGAAAGTGAAGTAAACAAAAGTCTATCATTCTTGGATGTACTAATCATCAGAATTGACACAGGGAAACTGAAGAGGCGAGTATTTCGGAGGCCAACACACACAGACCTAAGTCTCAAACTACAGTAGCAATAACCCAAGAACTCACAAAATCAACTGCGTAAAAACGTTGTTCAAGAGAGCGAAGACACACTGCAGCACACTTGCAGCGCAAAAAACGAAGAAAAATATCTAACGACCATCTTCCAAAAGAACGGCTATCCACACAACTTCATCCAAAAAACATCAACGGAAATCGTCAACAGAAGCGTAATCAAGTACAGGAACTAATAAACGCATCATCTTACCATACATAAAAGACATATCGGAGCATACAGCACGACTACTGAAACCATTTGGAATAAGTGTGGCACACAAACCAACAGAATCACTTCAATCAATCTTAAGCAAACACCAAAGTACAAAATGACAAAGGAAGAAAAACCAAATATCCCATCTACAAAATAAATTGCTCAGATTGTGAAAAACACTAAATAGGACAAAGTGGACGACCTCTTCAGTTTCGTTTACGTGAACATCGATTAGCAGTCAAACGCTACGACAATACTTCGCTTATATCAATACAGATGGACAATTACGGAGATACATTCGACTGGAACAATGTTGGGATACTGGATAGGGGGAAGACAAATAACGCTAGAGGAATTTAAGAAGCTTAGCGCTCAGCTCAATCAATAATCAACATCAACACATCGACATTGACCCAATTTATCAACCAATCAGACATAGGATCAACAAACAAATCAAAAGGGGGATACAATCAAAACAACGGTGTAAACAACGACAGATTTAAGGTGAACAGTAACCAATCATGATCGAGGTTAACATAACAAGCTACGGGTCAAACATGGATAAATTCGAATACTTCACTTCCCTATATAAAGTTTGTGCTGATGATGTTGCTGTTGTACAGAAGAACAATGAAAGTTCCATACGCAAAATATCCAGCTCAGTAAAAAAAACGAAACACCACCACAAAGTAATCATGACTTGAAAACACTTAGCGTTCTTCTGGAGACAGTTTGAGGAAAAGCGGAAAAACCACTGTCCAACTCAGAATACTGATGACATCATGTTTATCAACCAACTGTTACTCGATATCCCAAAACTCTACTATTACATTCAAGTGAAACAGAGACGTAAAAAAAATTTTCTGCGCTGGGTCAATAGTGTCTGACTATCATTCCTGTCAGATGTCGATAGAGCTACAGACACGTAACAGGAATCGACACAGAGTCTAACATTTCACCTGTATTAAAAAACACACCGTTATTCGATAACTACGATTTTTTTCTCTCAGCATAATGTACAGCTAAGTTTAGGCATTCTTCTGAACGAACGAACTTAAACAATAGTTAATATCTACAATAAATAAGAAGACGTGACCGGTGGAGATCAACCCTTTTTCGAGTGCAGGCAGTTATCTATCGAAAACAAAGAATGAGGTTGCGCTAACTTCATAGATTGATCAGAATTAGACATGAACACCGTTGGATACCCTAAATAAACTGAATGATCTCGAAGTTAAGCGTTCGCATACAAGAACCGAAGGTCATAGGTTCGACTCCTGTGAGAGCAGTAAGAGTCATGAATGCGCGCACTACTACTGACTGATGAATGAGTGATCCCATTGCCCCCCCCCACACGGGACAAAACGACCATCTTTCAGTGTTTTCAGATTTTTTTTTCTGATAACAATGAACAAATAAATGGAGTCAAATAATTTCAAGCATGAAAGAAATATTAAGAAGGCGTGAACTTACTTTCCAAAACCATATAACTTGTGGTGATCGTGTATCGTATTTTTTATAAGTTGTATGCGATTGCCAATCATCTACATCGATTTGCTGCATACCACATAATAAAACCTATATAATCATCATCATCAGCAGCAGCAGCAGAATAAATGAAAAAACAAAGAGTAAAGTGAAGGAGAACACAGGTGAGGACAACCACCAAATTGTATTTATCGCAAAATTACAGAGTTATTCAGTAAAATAGGAAAACCATATCGTAAATCGTTGTTAATTTGCACATCTTCAATCCATCATCAATCCATTGTTGTCTGACATGTCACTCACTATTCATGCGTTTCATACAAATTCCATATTGTGTTCCCACTCTTCTTCTTTTCTTGATCTTCCCCCCCCCCATCTTCTGCTACCAGACATTACGTTTACACTCACGTCATATACTACTTATAAGTAGCGCGCACCACAAGAGGACAAAAGACAAGAATATTTATTGAGGAAAAAACACACAACAGAGAGTATGAATATGTTACCGACTGAAGAACTATCATATCAGTCAACAACAAAAAAATTGGGATGAGATTACTAGGAGCCCAGATTATCACCACAGTGATCGATGGCGAGGAAAATGACAAAACATTGGAGATCATCAATCAATCAATCAATCATTGTTGTTAGACAGAGCACCATTAGAAACCTGGAAGAAGCACTGCAAGACGGCCGTTTCGTCCTGATAACAACTACCAAAGACAAATGGGTGAGGTCGCGCAAAAATCGGTTGATCAATCAGAGTTAGACATTAACAACGATGGATGCCGGCCAGCTCAGTGGTCCGATGGTTAGGAGTTCGCGCACAATACCGAAGGTCCCGGGTTCGAATCCTGCGAGCTGCAGGAGTCGTGGATGCGCACAGTGGATGAGTCCTGTACCAGGATGAAACGGCCGTCCAGTGCTTCTAGGTTCCTAATGGTCGTCTAAAAATGATTGATTGATGATTTCAAATGTGTAAAAACACAAAACCTCCAAAACTCTGCCCCAAAATGGTAACACTGCTCAATAGTGACTAGCTTCGTGAGAAAATTCTCGGAGTTCTAGTTGAGAAGATGTGACTAATGGAGTTCAACCCTGTCGGGTGTAGGTAGTAACTACCAAAGACTAATGGGGGTGGTCTCGCAAAAATCCGTATATCAATCAGAGTTAGACATTAACACCGTTGTATACCGGCCCAGTGGTTCGATGGTTAGGCGTTCGCGCACAATACCGAAGGTCCTGGGTTCGAATCCTGTGAGGTACAGGAGTCGTGGATGCGCACTGCCACTGATGAGTCCCATTTGAACTATATCATCACCGCCAAACACTTTGGATCAATAGTCTCGATTATCGGGAGTAGGCTTATTTATTTACTTACTGTTGGGGACGCTAGACCACCAGAACTCACTCAGCAAAAGTCCTAATTTTGTATTTTTACGCTGAAAATTTGAATTTTATGTTTTCGTGCCAAAGACGCCTGGTTAACCTACACAGCTTATAGTTCTCACTCGGAAAGTCCTTGATTGTCATTGGTTGATGGATTATTTTAATACGCTATTTTGTGACTCTCAACAACAGCGTTATATCATGGTATAAATAAGCTTGATTTGTGTACTTGTAGAATACACTTTCGACGTCTGATCAAGACTTGTGAATATAATTAGCGGGGCCAGAGACAAACGGATTAGTATGGCCTGTCGTGTCACTGGATCATTTGTCTTCACTCTCGTTTACTGACTAAGGTGAACTTGTAATAGTTCAAACGTATCACGCCTGTTACCCCGAATGGAACATTGGCCAACTCCATCCTGGGTCTTACTTTCTAGTTCTGTCCTAATGTTTTGCAATCTTCTCATGTTTGTCTACATTTCTCGGCCAAATGTGTACTCTGATGTTTCTCTTTTCCTTTGGCTTTGAGAAGTACAAGTGAGGGCTTGTCTTGTGACGTAGATGGGTGGTTTCCTCACAGTGTGTGTCCTGTCCACTTCCAGCGCTTCTTTATGATTTCCTCCTCCACTGGAATCTGGTTTGTTCTCCCGCACACAGTAAGTGTTTGCTGATAGTGTCTGACCAACGAATCCGAAGTATTTTGCGTAGACAACTGTTAACAAACACTTGTATCTTCTGGATGATGCCGTTCGTAGTTCTTCGACTTTCCACCTCGTACAGTAAGTAGGATTGTGTTGTCGTAAAAATATGAACGACGTGATAATCCAAAAAACCATTTCTCAAAATGGAATTAAATCTCATATGCAACTGCATAAATAAATGACTACCTAGACTTAGTAGGAGAGTGGACAATACAACTACAAGTGCTGAATAGGACGAAACGCACATCCTGGATTCTACTAGTAGCCACACACATATTCTGTCTAATCTACACAAACTTATGTCATAATGATTATTATTATTATCGAAGCGATCTGCATAGGATAAGCACATATAGTTAGGATATTTATCCAGTATCCTAAGAGAATTATTGGTCAATTTCTATTGGTTAATTCCTACTGGTCAATTTTATGGTCGTCCTACATATCAATGTCACGTGCTCCAGTGTTGTTTCTTATTGGTCGTCTTAACTGTCACTGTCACAGACTTCGATGCTGTTTCCTTTTCGACCAAAATGTATAAATACGCATTATCTGTGACGTTTTGTGACTAGGACCAGGACCCGGATCCCTAGGCCGGAATCCTGATACTCTTCTGGACTCGGACCTCGTACTTTCTGGATGCTTGTAGAATACACGTTCTACTTCATATCACGTCTTCGTATTTTAACTAAATATGGGAGTTGGGATAATCGGATTTGATTAGCATGTTGTGTTGCCGGATCCTCGATCCTCGCTCTCGCGTTTCCGACTAGGTAAACTCGTAATAGTTCAAGTATATCAAGTTGACGTGTTTACGTGCAGGCGTAACACATATCAACTAAGACTGATCAAACTGAAGTTGAAAATATCAACAACGAACCATTTGAAATTAAAAGACTGTCCGGGGACGTCAGATCCCCAAAACTCACTGGGAAAAGGTCCTAATTTTGTAATTTTATGCTGAAATTTTGATTTTCTTCTAATGTTTTCGCTTAGTTGACCTACAGATTACATTTCCCACTCCGTAATCCTTGACTGTTATTGGATGACGGATTGTTTTAGCACCCTATTTTGTGGCTTTCAACAACGGCGTTTTATCATGGTATAAAGAAGCTTGATTTGTGTGTGCTTAGGAAACTCGAAATTTCTGAGTGCTTGTCGAATACACTTTTGTACGCCTTATCAAGAGTTCTTGATTTGTAGTTAGCCAGGTCCGGGGACAAACGGATTAGAATAGCCTACCGTGTCACAGTGTTGTTACACCTGCACGTAAACACGTCAACTTGATATACTTGAACTATTACGAGTTTACCTAGTCGGAAACGCGAGAGCGAGGATCGAGGATCCGGCAACACAACTTGCTAATCAAATCCGATTATCCCAACTCCCATATAGAGTAAAAATAAGAAGACGTGATATGAAGTAGAACATGTATTCTACAAGCATACAGAAAGTACGAGGTCCGAATCCAGAAGAGAATCAGCATACCGGACTAGGGATCCGGGTCCGAGCCCTGGTCCTGGTCGTGGTCAATAAACGTTACAGATAATGCGTATTTATACATTTTGGTCGAATAGGAAACAGCATCGAATTCTGTGACATTGACAGTTAGTTAAGACGACCAATAGGAAGTGACCATTTGAAACGACATTGACAGTTAAAACGACCATAATTTTGACCAATAGGATTTGACCAATAATAATTCGCTTAGGATATTGCGACGAATATCCTAACAAGAGTTATCGGTTTCGTTTCGTTGACCGACAACTAAGGTGAACAACTTGTAATCGCATTCAACCATATCAAACAACAAAATAAAACAAACAGAAACTTTTACTAACTTCTAATTCACGTTCATCAAAATATTGTAACCATTGAAGAGGAAATACATCTTCGAAACCAGTAAGGAATGCATTTGTCTGATCTTCCACACCACGTGAAAATCGCCAATTAACCATTAAACTGTATTAGAAAAGAGAAAAAACAAATTTAACTACGGTGATTGTAATTTCAAAATGTTTTATTTCAATAACACTAAACGCTATTTCAGTCCGCGTCAGGGTGTCAGGTAACTCCGCTAGCCAGTAGAACCTTCGGGGCTATTGCCGGTCCCAAGCCCGGAGGATAAAGGAGGAGGGTTGGACATGGGGTTGGCGACCCCATTCCGTCAAAAACTAACTTGCCAAAAAAATAATTCAAACCATTTTAACTCTGCCCTGGGAGTAGTTGGAAGAAGAATTATGACGTCACGTGATGAAAGAGCTGAGTTCCCTCGGAAGTCACGGGGCCGATGCCTCTTCTGACAACCAGAGCGTCACGAGACAAGCCCTCACACTTGGAACCCTCAGGGTAAAAGGAAAAGAGGAAGGCCAAGGAAGGAACACATTACTCCGAGAAATAGAGAATGATATGAGAGGAATGAACAAAAATTGGACAGAACTGGAAAGGGAAGCCTAGGACAGAGTTGGTTGGAGGAAACTGGTGGACGGCCTATGCTCCATTGGGGGTAACAGGCGTAAGTAAGTAAGTAAGTAAGTAAGTAAGTAAGTAAACAGGGTGTCAGGTACACTTTTGTGTAGTTGCGCTACAGGATTGAGCTGAACTGTTCACATTGTAGTGTTAACAAACAAGTTCTCTTAACCACCAATGTAAAATTACCCTTGCCAATTGAGGGTATGTGTGTGTGCATGAACATCAATTCACAAGGGACACCTAAATATTTATGCACTAGACAAATTATTGAATTTGAGTGAGTGGGCTGAGATACTACCCGGATCGTATGGAAGACCACAGTGCGAGCTTTTGACCTATAGGTCTAATCCCTCTAAATCTTTCCGATTACTACTACTAATACTTCTATACTACCTCTACTACTACTATGGGATTAGAATTGACCATTGGATCTCTGTGTGTCGTAATGTGGTATGGCAACTTGAACTGATGTACGTACGTACGTACGCACGAAGTTCTACGTTGCTGTTGATTGATTGACAAGTCTAATCCACAAGGCGATGGAGCAACCATTCAGCATAGGTTCATACGCCATTTGTCCCCCCCCTCAAGATCCTGGAGTTGATGTGGATGTTACAGGATATTACAAGTACCCTAGATGAAACTTCTGTACCTACCACTCGTAAATTAATCAATAGGGTTGCGAATCTGTTGAATTCTTCGGTATTCAAAAAATCAATACAGATATATAAACCATTGCCGCATACGTGCCTAACCGTCTTCTACATAAGACCAAAGTCAGAGATTAAGGAAGTTTATATTTTGGACAAACCGAATCGTTCGTATGATTGTTCCTTAGATTTAAAGAAAAACTATTTTTATTGGCCAGTCAGGGGTAATTGACATTTGATGATTTTGTGAGTGGCCCATTCATTGTATTGATTATTTTTTTCCTTACTGAAAAATACATCTACCACTTTTCAAAGATAAAAACCCTGGGAAAAACTGACAGTCGATCAATCAATCAATTTAATCAGTACGAACTTATACGATTTATTGTTCAGAGAAAAAAAAAAGCAATCAATTTAAAATCTGAAATAAAATATCATCAGAAAAGAGATGTAACTTTTGAAAGAGAAGTGATTAATGAAGCAAATCAGTTCTTCGCTAAGATAATTCACGGATTATATATATATATATATATATACGAATAGCGATTGGGTAGAACTAGAAAGGAGGGCCTAGGACTGAGTAGGTTAGAGAATGCTGGTCGGCACGCTTCACTTATCTCAGGAGTCTCATCAGTGCTGATGGCCTGGTGTGTGACGAAATATCAGCACGGATACAGAGAGCTCGACTGGCTTTTGCCAATTTACGTCACTTATGGAGTAGGCGAGATATCCGTTTGCTAAACAAAGGATGAGTCTACTGTGCAGCTATCCGCTCTGTCTTACTATATGGATGCAAAACATGGCAGGTAAGAATAGAGAACATTCGAAGATTGCTTGTCTGAGATCATAGGTGTCTTGAAAAAAGCATTGCTCACACATCCTGGGACAACCAAGTAAGCAATGCTGTCGTTAGGAAACGAGTTCTGCGTAAGGATGGCAGATCAATAGATGAAGTATTGAAGCTTCATCAGTTGAGGTGGTTGCCATACGTGTTACGTATGCCTAACCACCGACTACCTCGACGAGTAATGTTTCGTGATGTAGGAGTAGGTTGGGAGAAAGCTAAGGGCGACCAAATCAAAACATGGCACAAATCCATGAATTCACTGACAAGTAGACTAAGTCATGTCGGTAGGTGCCAACTACCTGTCGGCGCTCTGAAGAACGAAAGTAACCGATGGTTAGAGACCTAGAAAGACATGGCTCAGAATCGCTTGCAATGGCGCAAGTGCATCCACTCGTCGTGTTCTATGAAATTCTGACCTTCTGAATTTCTTATAATCTCTATCTTTCTCTTTCCAAATTTATCTTACTGATTTATACTTCTCGAATCATATCTTTACTCCCTAATCTTCTCCATTACTGCTAATACTTCAAATATCGCTACCAGTATTGCATTTGAACTGACGCTTGCGTCTCTGTGCTAATGTGTTGTACGGCAACCTGAACTGATGTACATACTTACGAAGTTCTGAGTTGTATCTGTCTGTCTGTGACTCATCAGTAGTGTGCATCCCCATCATCCTCGCCAGCGGCAATTGAACCCTGTATCTTTTTCGCAACCTTATAATAACAATTATCAAGTGCTCACTAGTGACCAGCTTCATGAGGAAATTCTCAGAGTTCTAGTAAGAAGCTATGGTCAGTGACGTTTAAACCGTGCTGGAAGTGAGGCAGTTTACCCATTGTACACAAGAGCTGAGGTTGCATAATACCTTGGATCAATCAAAGTTACACATTAACACCATTGGTTTAGAAGTTAAGCGTTCACGCGCGAGACCGCAGATTCTAGATTCTAAATCCAGGCTTCTAATACTGATCTAATAACACATTAATCCATTTATGATGATTTCTGAAACGGTACTCAACAATCTTCATCACTCTCTCTCTCTCTCTATGGTAAATGTCACTCAACTACATTTTCATTTCAGCAAAGAAAACAAGTTCGAATGTAAAAAATGACGCATTCACATGTGTGAATGAGTGTGTGCGAGTGTAGAAAATGCACCCCACAGTACACATGTTCCACCCAGCCCCATCATCATCATCACACAAAAACACAAAAATGATTACCCACTGATTATTGATTGATTTATCGATCGATCGATCGATCGACTGATAATTATTGAGTTGTTCGTAAAACAGCAGCAGTAGTGAAAAATCAAAGTAGAATGATTGACAGTGAGTGAGTTAGTTGGTTGTATGAATGGTCACACAATGACCGACACACACACACGCACACAGACACACACACACATGGATTAAGCTTTTTTTTTCATTTCTTTAAAACGAGACATCAGTGATGAATGGCAAAATTCTCTCTCTCTTCATATTTTCTTATCTCTCATCATCATCCTCACCATCGCACATTCCTTGTTCCCGAAATAGACACAGATCATGCTCATTAGTTAGTTGTGTGCTCGAGTGAGTGTGAAGTGATGTGCGGTGACGTGCGTTCACAAACAAACAAACAACTGAACAAGACACACATACACACACGTACCACATACTGTATGAAACTAATCGAGCTTCTAACTAAATAAGAGTGTAATGTAATATTTCGATTATAATTTTTAACAAAAATAACAAGTTGTCATTTTAATTAAACGCCAATAGTAAGTAGTTAGTACACACAGTAAGTACTAAAAAGCCTTAAATTGTAAAAAAAAAATGCATCCATCATCTATCATGTTAGATGGATGAGTGAGTGAGTGAGTATATAGTCTAGTCGGAATTGTTTTAACAAAAGGCATTCTATTGTGCGTGTGAGTGAGTGTTAGAGTTAGTGCATTGCAATTCTTTCTCTGTTACACTAAGAGATTTGCGTCAAACTGTATGTCAAATTCCAACAGTGAGAAAAAATTATTAAAAATTAAGGTTTTTTTTAAATTTTATTCATGAGTGAGTGGAGGTGATGATTTCATGGGTAGATAGATGGAAATGAAAAAAACCCTGGGACTTCAATGGATGTGTGTGTGTGTTTGAATATGCGGGTGGAAATAAAACCTTGAAACTTGTAGAGTTTCTCCTCGTTGACTAAAACTCCAATCATGTCAGTTAGTTAAAACGTAGAACTTCGTACGTTGGTACATCACTTCAGGTTGCCACACCACACATTAGCACAGAGACGCAAGTGTCAGTTCAAATCCAACAGTGATAGCCATAGTAGAAGTATTAGCAGTAATGGAGAAGATTAGGGAGCGAAGATATGATTCGGGAAGTATAATTGAGTGAGATACATTTAGAAAGGAAAAGATAGAAATGATGAGAAATTCTGAGGATTAAAATTTGAGCGAACACAAAATGTAGATGCACCTGCGCCATCGCAAACGATTTTGAGCCATGTCGTTCAAAGTCTCTAACCATCCGTGACTTTCATCTCGTGGACCCCCGACAGGTAATTGGCACCTACCGATATGACTCAGTCTACTTCTCAGTGACTTCATGGATTTGTGCCATATTTTAGTTTGGCCACCCCTGGGTTTCTTCCAACCTACTCCGAAACAACAGAACATCGTTCGTACGTAACATATTCAGTCAGTCAGTCAGATGCAACGTAGAACTTCGTACGTAAGTACATCAGTTCATCTTGCCATACCACATCAGCACAGAGATGTAACTGTCAATTCAAATCCAACAGAGTAGTAGAGGTAGTAAAGGTATTAGAAGTAATCGGAGAGGTTAGGATTAGAAGATATTATTCAAGAAGTATGATATAGTGAGAAAAGTTTAGAAAGTCAAAACTAGAGGGGTTGAAGAATTCAGAAGATTAGGATTTGAGAGAACACAAAGAATAAATGCACCGGCGCCATTGCAAACGATTTTGAACCATGTCATGTA